ATCCATTTTTTTTTCTGCTGCCCCCAGGCCCCTGTCCTCCCCCCTGGTCCCACTGTGCTCTCTTCGGGCTCCTGCATGCTCTCTCCTGGCCTCCATCTCTCAGGATGGAGAGTGAGGAAGGAGCTGGTAAAAATGTAATTTACCAGCCCCTTCCTTGTCTGAATGGACAGTCAGTGATCGGTACCGACCACTGTGTTTACTATACTTCAGTTTATGAATGAATGGGAAGTTCTGTACAGATTTATTTCTGTCCATTCATTCTGTACTGCTGAGACTGAAGAGAACGAGATTGAGGGCTGTGTCCTCAATCTCCATTCTCTGTCTCAAAGGTGATATGTCAGAGGTCTGTTTAGAACCCTGATACTACAAACAACTGTAAAAAAAACATTAAAAAATAAAATTGTAAAATAAAAAAAAAAAAAAAAATTGTAAAAAATAATTAAAAAATAAAATAAAAAACTACTGACACCAATGGCAGAATTACTAAGAGCGCACAGGTTGCACATGCGACTCCAAGGGAAATGCCTGGGGCTAATTTTTGTCCCAATCTGGACCCGATTACTATGGACAGTTTCACCAGATTCTGTGTGCACTAGTGTTAGTAAATTCACACACACACACGCACACACGCACACTGTAGAGATCTCACATGTTAAAAGATATTGATAGACGATAGAATCAGTTCAGAGACGGGAAATGAAAATGGTGAAAGGTCTGAGGAATAAAACATATCTCCTAGATTATAGGAAGAGCAGGGCCCTTGAACCCCTCGTGTTTTGTTTTGTTACTGTATTGTCTCATGTACTGTCCCCCACTATAATGTACAGTGCTGAGCAAACCTTTTAGCGCTATATAAATACTGTAGTATAATAATAATAATAATAATATCAGGAGAGACTTTAGGAACTTAAAATGTAGAGTCTGCAGGAAAGAAGGAGAAGGGGGGACATGACTGAAACCTCTAAATTCTTTAGGGGTGTGAATAAGGTTCAGGAGGGCAGTATTTTCAATATAAGGAAAAGGAATCAAGAACACGGGGACATGGACTCAAACTAGCCAGAGGAAAAGTCAAAACTAATCTTGGAAGGTATTATTTTAATCAAAGAGTAGATGATGTTTGGAAGAGGCTTCCAGCAGAGGTAGAGAGTCAGTCAACAGTAAGTAGATTCAAACAATCTTGGGAGAAATATAGATCTATACTCACAAAAAAGTTTTTTTTAAAAATGCGGCAAACTCGATTGACCGCTTGGTCTTTTTTGTTCTATAGTCACTATTCTGTGTCTCTATGGATGCAGGACCCAAAATATTTGTCATCATATTTTTAGAATGAAACCGGAAATCCAATTTAAGATCACTGAGAAATATGCTGTAAGTTGTAGCAAACAGTTGAAAACCATCTTCTACATAATCTAACTACAGTACACCAAATGTCATTGGCCGCTGTGGTTTACGGCATCTTGAGCAATGGAGAAACCTGACAACAGCAAGATAACACTTGAGGTCCAAGCTCCAGAAATTTGAGTGCTGCTGACTTTTTATTATACAATTCTATCTATATGCTAGAGGTGAATGTAGCTGTATTAGGGCATTTGCATTTGCGACAGAAACATAGTACTGCTTGGACCTTGAAGAAGGGGACACTCCCCAAAAGCTTGTCCTCAAAATTATATGTTAGTGCAAATAAAAAAAGTATCACGGACAGTACTCAATTGTTTCTATCTATATGCTACAATGACACAAAAATAAAGCTGAATGTGTAGATTGACTCACCTGCATTTTGGAGACCTCAGACTCTGCAACGATTGCTGCCATACTGGTAGCCCCCCCATTCTCCTGAGAATTGTCTACACTGGCACTCCCAGACTCCAAGCTTGGTGGTCTAGCAGGTGAATTCTGGGGAGTTACCAATGCTAACTGTTTTTTTGCCTTCATCTGCTCACCCTCCACCTTTACATTGCTGTCTAAGCTGTCCTTATCAGAAATCATATTAAATAATTATTTGAATACAGAGCAACAAAGATGAAATAATATAACAAAATGTAAATGAAGCTAGTTAAGTGTCGGAGCCCTGGAAAAGAAATTCATCAATGATCGTACTCCAGCCTTTATAGGATGGAAGGCTCTGCACTCAGCTATTCACATATTCATAATATTCAAATCTCTTCCTGTGAGATGTCATGCTGGCTCTGCACACTGCCAGACTGCTGAGCGCAACTCCACCGTGCCTCACATGGATATCAAATATCAGCTGTACTGACAGTGTATAATGACACGGCTAGATTTTACACAGTCCTCGTGTGCAAATCCCAACACGGCTCTGACCAATCAACATAGGGCCTTGTGTTATTAACCAGATCGGAACTTTTCAAGTTATTGCTACTAAGCAGACCTGAGATTTATTGCTATTATTATAAATAATAATAAATATATTACTATCATGATTGGACAAATTTCAGCCAATGCTTCTAAAATATTTAACAGCAGATGCCTTTTTTCAAAACTTGTTCTACTGTTGCTAATGGAAACGCTTGTCTCCCTTCTACTGTAAAGTCCCCGCTGGTTCCCATCTAAAACTGATTTGATCCTGAATATTTAACCCTTCCATGACCAAAGATCATTGCTGCCTTGATACCCAGACCAAATGTACCTACATCACCATGCTTTGGTTAAAGTACAGTTGTAGGCAAAACTTTTTTGTAACCACCGTCAGTTTATTTTTTTTTGTCCGCTGTGTACCATTGGGGAGATTTCCCTTCATTTCCTGTCCCATGGCCAAAACAAGAAGTAAGAGGAAATCCCTGCAAATTAAACGGAATTCCCTGGGGCTCCCCAGGTCAACAGAACTAGTGACCCCATTGGAAGATTTCCCCTCTATTACATTTCTGGGGACAACCCAAAATTTGGGATTTCTTTTACTTTCACTTTCAATGATAATGGTAAACAGGACAAATAGAGAGGATGCATCTCCCTAACGGGGGCACAGACAGCAATAAAAACTGACAGGTGTTGTAATCCCTCTCCACTATATCCAAAACTAACAAAAAAGTGCCTTTAGTGACACTTTAACTTGGCAATAGCTCTATGACTAATCCACCTGCCTATACAATTTTCTACATTTTCTTAAAGTATAACTAAAGGCAAAACTTTATTTAAAAGTTTTGGCCAGAATGGAGCTGGACTAGAACACCTATTAGGTGTTTATTGCTGTCTATGCCCCTGTTAAAGGGATTCACCCTTGTAGTGCTACCCTCCTGAGGGCTGCTGTGAAATGGGTATCCGTAAGCCTGTCTTCGCACAGCCAGGCAACAGGTATTTTTCACACCAACTTGCATCCAGAGACAATGACCAGTCCATGGGCTTGGTTTTGTTATTCTATTAGGGGGTTCAACTTGGATGGGAATATAGATTATGGGATGCCCAGTTTGGCTTGAAACCATGAAAGGGGGATACTTTCTTCCTATGTACAAAAGCAGATCCTGGACTGTTCTTTTCCTGAAAGCTGTCAAGTCGTTGCAGATCAGTAGCAGCTGCCCTTATGGGCGAGGAACTAGCAGCCCCTCAAAATACACTTTACATCTTATAGCTACATGCAGAGAGGTCTTCTCTCCCCCCTATAGAGCTGCTTCAACCTCCACAGCCTGCAACCACTATCAGCCCCCTGGCTTCTTGGAAGATCTCCCGGGACAAGGAAAAAGGATTCAAAAAATTATGTAGATAACCTCCTGCACTCCACAGAGTTACTTGAAACAGAGCAAGCTGCTATCATCTAAATCCTATACCTTGGGATCCAAAAAAAACCACAGAAAAATGGATGAAGCGCTCAGCCTTGAGGGTACTAAATTAATTAACCTAATAAAAATACATATTACAAATTATATAACAAATAAGAATAAGGTGACTAGTGCATCAATCCAATATAAATGTGTAAACAAGCAGAAAAAACAACCAGTCTACCACCAAGAGGCTAAAATTGGTACAAAATGTGCACACACTAGGTGTATACAAAGTGACCAGTGCTCACAAACCACATATATATATATTGAATACAATCTAAAATATAATTTAAATGTGCTCACAGTGAACAACTACTACATTAAAGTGACAAGTGTTGAAAATCAATCAATATAAAAATGCAATATATGATAAAGTGCAAAATGCATGCTAACACTCTCTTGTGAAATAAATAAATATATATATATATATAAAAAAATTAAATAAATATATATATATAAAAAATGTGCGTTCTTCCTCCACTTCAAATCTGTGCTCTAATCAAAGTGTCACTCTAGTGCTTAAATCCTCCATGGCTAGAGTGCCTCCTCACCTCCTTCACTCAACCCCTAGGGGCCACAAATTATATAGTGATGTTTCACACCGATTGGACTCTCAATCATCAAGATAAACCTTTGTCCCAATGGCTCCACAATAACTCCTCTATCACATCGATATCCACTCCACCATTTAATGGGCAGACTCAGCAATGAGATTTCAGGGCCATGGATGGATAAAAAAGAAAACCTCCTTCACTCGACCCCTAGGGGCCACAAATCATATAGTGATATTCCACACACTGCTCCAGGTCTTGATCCCATTTGTATCCTGAGCCAGCCTGAGTCCTGCTTGAAGGCCCCCCCCCCCCCCAGATCTAGGGGACCACTCCTAGGCACCGTCAATCTCCTCAGCACTCCATCCACCCCACTTCTCTGTCATCCTGTCTCTCTCATATTTACAGGCCAGTCCACCACTCTACCAGAGACTCCAAACCTGGGATTAGCCAGACCCCCAATGAATATGCAGATCAGGCCTCCACCCCTTCTTGCTTACTGACTTCTAGAAGGTTCTATGGTCCTCCAGAGTAAGGAGGAGGCGATAGAGCCACTACCTGTTGAGTCATCCAACTGACCTGAAATAACCCAACCTCAATCACAGACTCATATAACTACCATGAGTCATACACAATTTTACCTACGATACACTGCACTATTCTAGCAGCACACTAGAGGGTGCTACACTCTCTCTATTTGTCCTGTTTACCATGATCATCAAAAGTGAAAGTATAAAAAAAAAAAAAAAAGCTATTTGGGTTGTCCCCAGAAAAGTATAAGCCCTCATGCACACTTGATGTTTTAATTATAAACAGCGCAAACATAGACCTCTAAATATAATCAATCTATAAAAATGCATAAGAATACTAAATATATCATAAATAATATTTAATAGTGAAAGTCCATCATAATAATAGACACCAAAAGTTCGTGAATCACAAAAAATTTGTGTAAAGATAAGAAATCCAAAAATTCTTCAGATGCAAAGAAAACTTCCACCTTCCACCCGTGCAAACCAACATCAATCACTGTTTTGATAATGCTGGTAACGTTAGCTGTGTAAAGTCAAGTTAAAAACGCAAGTTTTTCAGCTTTTCTTAAGCGTTTTGCATCAGCATTTAGCGACATTTTGCCGATTTTAGCAACGTTTTCCCACATTTTTCTTCTTTTGCATTTTTAGCGGGTTTTTTTGGGTCAAAGTCCAAAAACGGCAGTTTGCAGCGTTTTACCGCGTTTTGACGCATTTTTCAGCATTAGAGCATTTTTACAGCTAGAAAACTCCTCTAGAAACCCACTAGTTCTGTTTTTTTTCCCCAGCCAAAAAACATTGATTACAGTCTATGTGTGCATGGACACATAGGATAACACATTGGGGGGTTTACTAGCTGTAGAAAAAAAACATCAAAAGCCAAAAACAACAGCTGTAAAAATGTCCAGTGTGCAAGAGGGCTTAGAGGGAAAATGTTTCCAATGGGGACACAAGTTCTGGAGAACTGGGGGTCCCCAGGTACTTTCCTTAATTTGCAGGGATTTCCTCACCCTTCCTGTTTGGCTATGGGACAGGAAGTGAAGGTAAATACCCCCAATGGGACACAAATGGAAAAAAAGAAACTGACAGGGGTTATAACCCTCCCTTATTCTATCCAAAATGAAAAAAAAAACCAAAGTTTTGCCTATAGTTCTACTAATGTATGGCATTTATTGTGTGACTTTACATATTTTGAAAACTTTTAACTTATGTTTTTTTTAAGCATATACTATCTCCCTGTGCCTAGATGCTTCATTGGCTCCTCAGCTTCACTTACGCCACAATTTTCTTGTCTCTTTTAGTGAACGTGTGCTCAATTATCTTAGTGTTTTGTTTTATATCACCTCTATCTATGGCACATATTAAACAATGATGTCATTGTGGGACAGCTGATTATATCACAAATATAAAATCGATCGATTCTCTATGATACATTGTAGAGTGTTTGCCTTAGCAAATCGTTTAATAGCCAGCATTAGACAATTTTAACAGGTCAGTCAACCGCAGACTGATGAAAAGGCTTGGTTCTATACTGGATGTTTAAACTACTGTATCTATCAAGGACTAAAAATGTGTAAGCTCTGTAGCGGCGTTCCCAGCTGTGCCCATCTGGATCAGTCATTTCTTGGAAGGGTCTCACAGACAGCAGAAGGAGGTAGCAGAGCTAAGGACATTATTTATTATAGGTACTTATATAGCGCCATCAATATACGCAGCACTTTACATATATATTGTACATATACATCAGTCCCTAACCCTCAAGGGGTGTACAATCTAAGGTCCCTAACTTACATTCATACATACACATACTAGGGCCAATTTAGACAGGATCCAATTAACCTACCAGCATGTCTTTGGAGTGTGAGAGGAAACCGGAGTACCTGGAGGAAACCCACGCAGGCACAGGGAGAACATACAAACTCTAGGCAGGTTGTCAAGGATCCGGGTGTGACCAGAGGTGTGTGGACTGACACAGGGAAGTAACAGGCTTCAGGAATGATATAATAACAATATACTTATTATTAGCCACCCAAATATACAACGCACAGTACACAAACCAACCTTCTACTAATCTTAGTATGTGCAGAAACACAGGCGTAGTCAGGGCTGGGGAGGTGGAATGGTCAGGTCGGCCATATGGTTCTGTTAACGACCGTTTGGTGGTACCTCTAGCAGTCCTCGGGACAAGATTCCCCAGGGCGCGGAGTCTAAGTCCCAGTCTGCTTATTCACCAGGGCCCCTGATGGTGGGGATGGACTTGGAGCAGACAGGAACCAGGTCGCGGCCCCTGAGTACACCTGCTCGTGGTAGAGGGATCTGCCAGAGGTATATGCAGGTAGGAAGCCTGATGTGAAGAGGCAGAAGGTGTGAGCAGGGATGACTGGATCCATGCAGGATGGATGGATGGCAGAGTAGTTAGCGTGGTCAGACGGGCCGGGTCGGTAACAGCAGGTCAGCGTGGTACTAAGCAGCAGGCAGAAGAGTAGTCAGGTCACTCGCCAGGGTCGGTAACAGGAGTTCAGATCAGATTAGGGATGTCCAGGAGAGTAGTCAAACGAGCCAGGGATCAAGCAGGAGAAGTCAGCAGAGGTCAGGATCAGGCAGGGTCAGCAACAAATCAGATAAGCAGAAGAACAGGAACACAGGATACACGGTACAGGGGCTCATGGGAAACATACACCAAGGCACTGACTGCAGGTCTGGCCATTCCTTAAATACACCTCCTGCATTCAGCCTCAGGTGATGGCTGACTGCAGGAGTGAGCTTCTGGTTGCTGAGAGCACCCGCTGGCCAGCCTTGGTACTGCAGCCCACAAGGCAGGTGAGTCCCACCACCATTGGCAAGTCCATTCCTGACACAGGTGATGCCATGGCTGGGATTCGAACCAACAGCCCTAGTCCTGCCAGGTGGAAGTGCTAACCATTTAGCCACTGTGCTGCCCATAAGGGAAGATTTCAGTGCTAGAAATACATGAAGCCAGTAGAAGATTTACTTTACCAGTACCTACCATTAACTGGAGACTCTGTTTTGGGTAAACTGACTCATTAATCCAGCCATTCTCAACCAGGGTTCTATGGAAGTCCTCATCACTCCCGTGCATGCGTGACTCACTGTACAAGGGCGGACAGGCAGGTAGGTAGCTTTAACCACTTTCCCGCCACCTATAGCAGTACTGCTACAGGGCGGCAGGGCTGCACAAAATCATTTATATATATATATATATATATATATATATCTATATATATATCTATATATATATATATATATATATATATATATATATATATACATACATATGCATGTGATTTGCATTTCTGGGTAGGGGGCGCGTGTGCGCCGCCCTACCCACGGCACTTTTGTCTGCTAGGGCTGTCAATCACCGGGTCCCAGCCTGCGATTCCCGGCCGGCACCGGCGATCATCGAGTAAAGCTGACAGGGGAAAGACCTGTGTATAAACAACAACACAGGTCTCTCTCCTGTCAGCATGAACATGCTGTTTTGTATGTCTCTGCACCGCACAGCAGAGACATACAAAGCAGCACGTCTCCCAAGTAGAACACACACACAGCACACAGTTAACCCTTTGATCGCCCAGATGTTAACCCCTTCCTGCCCAGTGTCATTAGTGCAGTGTCAGTACTTTTTATTAGCACTGATCACTGTGTTAGTATCATTGGGATGACAGTGGCAGTTAGTCAGTTCTCACCCAATATCAGAATGCCCGCCACAGTTCCACAGTCGCTGATCACCACCATTACTAGTATAAAAAAAATAAAAATTCCAGTATATATACCACCATTTGTAGAGGCTATAACTTTCACATAAACAAATTAATATACACTTATTGGGATTTTTTTTTAGTGAAGACATGTAGCAGAATACATTTTAGCCTAAATGTATGAAGAAATTAGATTTTTTTTTAAAATTTTTTATTGGATATGTTTTTATAGCAAAAAGTAAAAAATTTGTTTTTTTTCTTTTTTCAAAATTTTTGGTCTTTTTTTGTTTTTTAGCGCAAAAAAAATAAAAGCCGCAGAGGTGATCAAATACTACCGAAAGAAAGCTCTATTTATGGGGAAAAAAAAATTACATAAAAATTTAATTTATGTACAGCATTGCATGACCGCGCAATTGTCAGTTAAAGTAACGCAGCACCATATAGCAAAAAGTGGCCTGGTCAGGGGGGTAAATCCTCTGGAGGGCAAGTGGTCAAATAACCATGCGGATCACTAAGGTCTGTATTTATAAAGCAACTAATCTGACATTCAGCAAACATTTAGGGCTCGTTCACACTTGACTGTTTTTCCAACTCTTGCCAAACACCCCTATAGCGTTTGAAAAGCGTTGGTCCGGCTTTTGTGGAGCATTTTTTAACGCTCCGCATGCGCGGTTTAGCGGTGGTTGCTAGGCATTTGCCAAGCGTTAAAAACGCCTCACAAACGCCTATAATGAAGTTTGAATGGAGGTACCACTCCGCAAATGCCTCGTAACCGCACCGCAAACGCCGGCAGGGCAATTGCGGAGCGGGCACCATAGACTTGAATAGGAGGCTTCAACTTCTCCTGACTCGACCAAAGGCGTCCGTTTTGCCGTGACGCTAATGCTCCTGTTTGAAACAGCACATGTGCTGCAATTTGCAGAATTTTCCCAGGTGTTTGGGAAACGGTTTTAAAAACACTTCTGCCAAACGCCTGTTGCTAACAAGGCTAGTGTGAAACGTAGCCTTATGCAGGTCATAGACGGGTCAAATCCATGCCGATTTTTCTTTTAAAAAAATGAAAAAAAAATCGGTCGTTCAAGCGGCCGACGTTACCAGCAAATGGTAAAAAAAAAAAAAAAAACCCGCCGATTTTCATCCCGTCTACAGCGGCAAAAAGTGTCCCTGCAGAGAGCTCCGCTATTTCTTTGACAGTTCCTTGACATTTATAGCGGCTGCAACAATGTATCTATTTGTATCCCTTTCGGATACAGATGTTTTTATTCGGAAACAAATAGATACATTGTTGCAGCCGCTATAAATGTCAACGCAAACTGTCAAAAGAAATAGCGGAGCTCTCTGCAGGGACACTTTTTGCAGGACTGGAATTCCTCTTCTTCTTCATCCTCTTCTTCTTCCCCTTCTTCATCTTTTTCTTCATCATCCTCTTCTATTTCTTCATCCTCTTCTTGTTCATCATCCTCTTCTTCTTCTCTTTTCATTCCTCTTCTTCTCACTCTTCTTCATCCAGATTTTTTTCACCATCCTAAAGATCTTTTTCTTATTTTTGTCTTCCTCTTGCAGGTCAAATCGTGCCCGATGTGCAGATTTTTTTCCATCGGTAAAAAAAATCGTCCGATTTACCAGGCCGCATTAATTTAGCCGCTAACGATCCGAAAATGGCCGATTTTATCGGCAAAAATCGGCCGATTTTCTTTCTATGGCCTTCATTACTTTAAATGTTCCGATGCAAAAAAATTGATCTCACCTGTGAATGTCACATCAAACCCACTGCTTTATGAGTATCCAGCAGAGTTTTTTTCAAGGGCATCTCCACATTAATTGACCAGCCAAAGAGCTGTGTGGGTAATATACACTTCCATATTTGTGTCCAAGTCTGTCTCCAACTGAATTCCAAACATGAAGTCACATTTTTGCATTGTTTATGTATTCTGTATTCCACAAGCAACGTCACATTCCACCTAAATACTTCCAATCTGAAAGTTCAAACAATATGAGTCTAATGTATCTGACCCATATAGGATATACTGAATTGGATACTGGACTGGCAATAAACTAGACACTACTGCCATTGTTTGCAAATCACAGCACAATGTATATTTTCCACAGGTCTTGGTACTGGCAGGCCTGAATTTAGTTGTATACTGACCTCTGCTGGTTTTTGTGATATAGCAGCCCTAAAAAAATTAAATAATTTGGCCATGCAAATGTTACAGTACACAATTTGTAAACTGAATGCTTTAAAAAACACCGACCAATCAACTTGATCTGGAAATCATGATATCTGTATTTAAAATGGGATAATATTCACATATACCTAGTGAATTGTTTGGTCTCAGTGTGAAATGCAGAGATGAAACAAATCCTCCTACATAGGTTCG